CTTGTTTAAGCACATGGGGAAAAACCAGCACACACAAAAAACAACTCACTTGCAGTTGTGTCGGATCACAAACTGACAGACTGCGCCCGCAGCTTCAAAGGGAGGTGTGATCGTGCAACTGTGGGTCAAATTCTTGTGAGGTAAGTGGGGCTGAGTGAGCTTTGAGAGAGAACTGTGACTGACCCAAAATCACCCAGCTGGCCACATGTGGAGGAGTGCAAAATCAAACCTGGTTCTCCAGATTAGAGTCCACCACTCTTAACCACTACACCAAGCTGGCTCTCCGGCCTCAAAAAGGTTTATGATGTCCTGTCTCAAAAGAGTTTAGGATGGTGACTAAGCCCTACGTGAGTGTATCTCAGAAATTGGGGACAGGGGACAAGATTTGGGGCTTGTTATTTTATCCTTGGTTTCAGCTGGAGATGTTTTAACTATTATTATAAGCCACCTTGAACCAAGAGGAAAGGCAGGATACAAACATTTTAATAATAAATAAATAAGCCTGGTAATAAGTTGGCAGCAAGAACTGCTGTCACAATTTCCAATGTAACTCCCATACTATCAGGGGCACACCATGGGTAGAGTAAGACAGCTGGCTTTCTAAGACCCTTCACCTTGGGTGTGGCCAAACACCAGCACAATACACCTTATTGGCAGATACACTGGCCTATGTTACTGGACTGTCAGCACGACAGCATGCCAGTGTAACTCCCTCCCCTGCAAACGAGGGGCAGAGCAAATACAACTGCAACCTGTAGTGGTTGACAGCCACTCCAATCTATGCTACTGCTGACCAAACCACCTTTGGTGCCTATTGCCTTGCAGGATCAGAGCCTCATGGAGCAACCCAAACAGGAATAGTTCCACCACAACTAACTACAAAGGACAGGTACTGGCTCAGTGGTTCACTGTATTCCCCAACAGGGGCAACCTAACCTGTGGGAACCCTCGGGGGGGGGGGTGCTGTGCACCACTCCAGAGCATCTCATGCAGACCTTTGGAGCACACTTGCTCTTTGCTATGACAATGAAACATCTATGAAACGTGTGTCTCTTTGGTCTCTTTGCAGGAAGCCATCTAGTGGGGGAAGAATCCAGGAAGGATCTCATTTCCCACAGTGTCAATTTATACCACAATGAGTCTATACCACGACCAACAGCAACTGTGACGAGTATGCATCGGACTACTCTACTGAGAGTTTGCCAGCTCTTGTTCTAGCCTCCCTCCTGCTGCAAACTGCTTAATAAACCAATTGTGGCACAGTTGTTCCTCTTATAGGCATATGGTGATTCGGACAGCTCTGCTCAAGGCCCAGGGAGGGCCTTATTCTGTGATCCACCAGTACAGCTTGCAAGAACACAGGAGTCTTGCTGAAACAGGAGTGTTAAATTACAATCCCATTAATCTGATTTGCTTTCAATATTACAGTCCTGATGTTATTAACAAATGTGTGGATTGCTGTACAGTTGTGCCTCAGATTGATTGGGATTTGATAGATAAGGGTATGTTCCTATCCCCTGCTTACTGATCACTTATATCGTAATTTTAACCTAACTTAACTTTAACTTAATTTTGTTTTAGTATATTTGGAGTTTTAATGTATATATTTATATGTATGTCAGTCGCCCTGAGCCCGCCACGGCGGTCGAGGGCGGGATATAAATTTAATAATAAATAAAAATAAATACATTCAGTATACAGCTTACACTGAGGAAGCTGAGAGGGTGGTCCAATGTGTGCAGAGGAAAGGGCAGATGAAAGGTTTGAAGACAACACACCTTCCCAGATCACTGCTGGAGTCTGATAAGGCAGGTGGCATGCATGGGAGAGTGGGGTGCTGACTGCAGCACAGAGATGATTCATGGGGCTTGCCAGCCAAAATGATGGCCACACAGGACAGCCAATCAGCAACTGCAGCCCATTCAACATTATTCTGTTTGAGGAGACAAAACATCAGCTTTCTTGGGACTCTGTCCAGACTGCATTAGAGCTATCCCTATCTGGGATTTGAACCAGTGGCCTTGAGTACAATTCACCTGTGCCTTTCCACTATGCTATGCCAGTTTGGTGTAGTGGTTAAAGTGTGCAGACTCTAATCTGGGAGAACCGGGTTTTGATTCCCCACTCCTCCACTTGCACCTGGCTGGATGCACCAAGGCTGGATAACCTTGGGCAAGCCATAGTTCTGGCACAGCTGTTCTTGAAAAAGAGCAGTTTCTGTCAGAGCTCTCCCAGCCCCACCTACCTCACAGGGTGTCTGTTGTAGGGAGGGGAAGGGAAAGGAGTTTGTAAGCCGCTCTGAGACACTTTTGAGTAGTGAAGGGCGGGATATAAATCCAATCTCCTCTTCTCTTCTTCTTTCTCTGCAGTCTTTCCATCTCCTCTCTATATGGCTGGTGTCAATAGCAGGGTTACTGGGGGATGCCCTATGCTATGTCTTGTTCATGTGAGACCAGTTGAATCAATGGTTACAGTTGGTGGTATTTTACTGCTGCTGGGCAAAAAGTGAGCTTTGCTTTCCTGCCAACACACCTGTTAGTGTGACTCAAGCCCATGCCTCCTATTCCTTTCCCCAGGGAACTATTGGGACATTGACAGGAATGCAATTTGTGAAGGTGCCACTCCGAGTCCCCTCATTGCTACCTCAATCTCTGCATTCTTCTTGCTTTGAGGCCCACACAACCTGAAACTAGAACCCATGTGTCTGCAAATCATGAGGGCACTGGTCTGGCACCATGTTACACGGTGATTAATCAATATCAGTGGAGTTACTATGGACTCTGGTGAAATCACTATCTCTCCGCACCTTGGAGAGGCATTTTTTTTCCACATGTCTGCTGTGCAAAACAAGCACGGAATGCCAAAATAGCAACACTGGTATGGCACTACACCGACAATGCACCAGTGCTGGGGTCTTAGGTAATAATAACAATTATCGTATGGCATTATGTGTAGTATAGCCAGGAGATCTGAAGATTGTCAGCCAGCCTTAAATTCTAGCTCTTTTGTGGTGAGCTAGACTTATTTCGGGGTCTGAGAGAGCCCTGAAAGAGAGCTCCAGGTGGAAGAGTGGGGAATCAAACCTGGTTCTCCAGATTAGTCTGCTGCTCTTAACCGCTACACCAAACTAGCTCAGGGGGGGAGGTCTTAGGTTTAGGCTGCCCAACACCCTATATATTTAATATATTATAATGCAGAGGTCATTTTGGGGGGGATCGCGGGGGATCGCAGTTCCCCGGGTGAGGTACGGGGGGCGGGGCACATGACGAAGCCCCGCCCCCTGCTTGCGGCCACCCCACTTCCGGCCCTCATTCAGCCAGGAGGACGCAGGAGAAGAGGGAGGGTAAGTTGCTTCCTCCCTGCCTCTACCCCCCCGCCTGCCTGGGGCCAGGGAGGGCCTTCGCGGGGCTTCCTTGCACTCCCGCCGGCCTTGCAGGTCCACCGCTGGGCCCCTCATGGGGCTCGGCAGTGGAGCTGCAAGGCCAGCGGCGGCCGGGACCGTTGGGGGTGGGGTGTGTGGCCTTATGACACACTTCCGGTGATGTCAGGGGGTGTGGCCTTATGACACACTTCCGGTGGTGTCAGGGGGTGTGGCATATGCTAATGAGTTATGCTAATGAGTTCCACTAGCTCTTTTTCTACGAAACGACCCCTGTTATAATGTAATGCTTTCACACCAGAAGGCAGTATACATTGCCCCGGCCGAAAGATGTGGGCTCTTAATGTGAAAACTGATCTGTTTTAAAATGAGACATTTTGCTTCAGCATTGGACATGTGAGTGCTTTGGGCTTGGTAGCATGTCTTGATTGCCTGGAACTCACCAGGCCTCAGGCATCAAATCCCCTAAAGTTGTCCTAAGCCGTCTGAATCGCCCCGACTAGCCCGATCAAGCAAGAGCCTGGAAGCCAAGCAAGGTCGACCATCTCCACTGCGGGCAATGATTAATTAAAGTTTTCAACTGTAAAGCAATAAATGCGTTTGTCTGCCAGCCATCAAGTAACGTCCAATACTGGCTGCAATAAGCGTTAACTATCCGGTTCCAAGCAATGCTCCCTCGAAGCTCTGGAGTCTGGTGAGCAAAAATTCTACCTTGTGAGCTACTGGCATTAAAGTTGTGAGCGAGCGATTTGGCTGTTGCATACATTAGTTTGCTCTGGAGCCCCATCCTTCCTGAGCCAAGACAAAAATGTGTGAGCCGGAGGCTAAAAACCTGTGAGCCAGCTCACACTAACTCAGCTTAGAGGGAACATTGGTTCCAAGTACAATCAGGGTGGAATCTGTGCAGGCAGAAGCTCTGGGCTCCTCTGGATAAACCTTATCGGGCCCCTCTGGATAAACTACTCACTCAACAACGTCTCTCCCGGATCCTGCACTCATTGGGCCACCATGCCCGTCTGCGGGCGCGGCGCTGTGCGAGCCGTGCCCTCCAGATCCAAACCCCCCCATAAGCACACTGTACATATATACATAGCACAGCCAATCAGCAATGTGCTTAGTCATGGTGACTTAGTCCTTGCCCAGACATGTACAAACTGGATAAGTCTGGTACTGCACCACATGACAATCACATGACAACTGTCAGATAGATCAGAGTCATCTAACAGCTGAAGCTTACATTATTGACGCTGAAAGCAGCGGCAGTGCTGTCTGGCCAGAGAGGACTCCTGGAGCAGCCGGCTGGGCGTTTCGCTTTCCCTCCCTCCTTTCACGACTTTCTTTTCTTCTCTTCTCGTTTGGCTGCCGCCTCCGGAAAAGCCAGCGGTCGCCGGCCTGCGCGCTTCTCCTCCTCCCCTTCCTCGAGGAAGCGGGGCAGCCTTTTCTCCGTCAGGGGGCGACGCAGGGAAGGGGGGGGAGGCCGGCGGGGAGGGCGGGCGCTACGGGGTGACAGGCGGGTACAGGTGCTTCCGCGGGCGGGCGGCCGCCTCTGAGTCACGGGAGAGGCGCCTCCTCTGCGCCCCAAACAGCTGCTGCTCCCCTCCCTCCTTCCCCGCCTCGGTCCCCTCCCTGCTGGAGTGCCGCAGCCGCCAGGGCCGGGCAGCTTTTCAGAAGGCGGCGCGTGCGGGTGCAGCAGCAGCAGCAGCAGCACGAGTCGAGCGAGCCGCGCGCCAGACCCGAGCCTTGGCGGAACCCGTAAGTCCCTGCTGCTGCACCCGCACGCAAGGCAGCTGCGTTACACGGTGCAAGGCAGCTGCGTTACACTGCAAGGCGCTTTTCTGCCCTCCCGCCCCGAATCTGCTGCGCCGCTCGCGATCGGTCGAGGCCGGCAGAGAGACGGGCGATGGCTGCAAAGCCAAATGCTGGTTGGATTGGCCGTAGGAGGGTCTGGCCGCTTGTGGCCGGGGCGCGATGAGAGGTGCTGCCCCCTGCCTGGTAGGATCTCGGCTTTGACTCCCCTCCCTTTTCCCTTGGCGCATGCATGGGGAACGGGATCGGCACGGGGAGCCGCCCAGCGCTGTCGGATGGCTCCGACGCTCAGCTTTTGTGTACAATGTCGGCGAATGCCGGAATCGGGTATAACGGGAGACGGTGCAGGGTTCGCGGGAGGAGGAATTATAGCAGTAAAAGGACACGGGTGCAACTGGGAGGGAGACAGCGAGTAGGCAGCAGTTCAGCCTAGGTAACTGATACCCAAGTCACGCTAAAACGTGGCCACATCTATGACCAGATTCTCATGCAAATCGGAAACCTTCGGTAGGGGGGTGAGGAAGGAGGAGAAAGATCCGATTTTTTTTTTTTAATAGGCAGAAAAATCGCAACTCACCTTCTCTCACATTTTCCTGTCCCTTGTAGAAATGCTATGCAGTAGAATGGTGGGTTTGACGGGGAACCCAGGGTCTGTGGCTCATCAGGGGATGGGTGCCTTTATCTGATTCATTTGTGTTCCACTGACAGTGCCTAATGTCCCCGTTCTTCCTTTCTGTTTACACGGGGCAGTAACAGGTCACAGGATAAAGCCACCCAGTGTGTCTTGATTATGTTCTGTACATTTTAACCTTGCTGGGATGAGTCAGATTCCATCATGTGGAGCTCCGCTGAGCACAGGTCTTTAGGTTGTGATTCGGTGTCTTTGGAGAACATGGAAGGAGGCAGGAGAAAGATACCCTTTGCTCAGATTTGGTAGTCTTGTCTGCTGAATTGAGGCTTCTAATAGGGAGTGGGGCATTCTGCTGTTTCAACTTCTGGTTCAACAGACGTGCCATGCAGATATAAATTATGGCTGTTTCTGGAGTGATTTATTGGATTTTTAAAAAAATCTGTACTCTTGGCAGCATTATTTTTTTTTTAAAAAAACCCCTACATTTCTAGACGGACTATTTTAAATGTCTTTTTGAATCCTGAGTGACTGTATAGCTAACAGCTGTGGTCTTAAATGCGAGGACAAACCCTGAGTAGAAGCACCAGTTCTGGACCTTGCAAGATGGGCTTGGGGGTCTGCCCGTGCAGAAGTCACAGATTTATTCTGTTAAATCAGTTGACATCCCCCCCCCCGCATCATGTTGAGGTGGACATTAATTTGACAGGAGGACATGTTAAATAGAAAGGGGGTGTTACCTCTGCTTAATGATGTCTGTTGTTTCTGTCTTGGCTGTCCTTTCACACATGATACAGCCTGTGCTTCAGTTGAATTAGAATATAAATGCAAAACTTTGATTGGCTCAAATGGCCATTTGATTTCTCTTCCACCTTCTAGCCTGCATTAACTTTATTCATATATGGTATGGATAGTGCCTGAGAGGCACGTGCAAAATGTAAGAATGGCCTTTCTCAATGAGAGTAGAAGCCAGCATGCAATTTCCAACAGTGGCCAGCTAGACACCCTTGAGAAGCTCACCCAGAGGGAATAGTTGAGAGAATATCTGCTGCTTTTTGGTCCCAGCATCAGGGTATCAGAGAGATGCCTCTTCTGAACACCAAGGTGCCATTATAGTTAATTCCCTCTGGAAAATGGTTGGCCCCTTTTTCTGAAATCCGTCTAGATCTTCACTGTATCTATCTAGCTGTTCTGCAGACCAGCATGGCTAACCTTTGAAACTTTATTTAAGTTAAGCTTTTCATAGGTCTCCAGAGGAAGATAATTCCTCAGCTGAAGGCCTGCCAGTGAGAAGATCTCAATGAGCACCTTGCAGACCTGATTTGGGGCACAGATGTTATGGTGGAACACAGGAATGGAGGAGGGGGTAAAGTGTGTTCCTATAGGTATGTCAGGCACAGGCTGTTTAGGGCTAGTGACAGAGATTCCATAACTTATTTACACATTGTATTGAGAAGTACTTTTCATATGTTCCAAACAAATATGCTTTTTAGTGTCCTGTATAAAAAAAAATGGTCCTTCTGCTTAAAAAGGTGTGCAGATTTTCCCTGCAGTCAGGTTTAGCTGCATCCTTTCCCCCACAGTGACAAGCTGCTCTTAGATGCTGGGTGCTTTACTATGTTAATTATGGTTGGGATACAGCAATTAAGTTGTCAGAGGTGTCATCTTGTCAAAAGAGTGTGTTAATTTCATTCATTTCATTGCCTCTGGCAATTTCCGTATATTCACTCTCTGTTCTTGACAGTAACAGTAGGGCTCCTATTTCTAGAGAGATGGCAAATATATTTGGTGCAATCAGGGAGTGGCATTTAGTTTGATGGCCTCCAACTGAAAAGGACCTTAGTAGATGGAGTGTTCTAGGCTTTTGAAGAAGTCTTTCTGGGGTGTGTGTGGAACAATTAGTTCTACTTACTCTTGCCTAAGTCAACATTGATTACTATAAAAGAAAAAAATTTAGGACCTTCTTCATAGAGAACAGCAAGAAACTTCAGAAAGTACCTTTTGGACCGTTTCATGCTGCTATGATAAGGGCCCATTTTATTTATTTATTTATTTATTTATTTACTTACTTACTTCATTCATATGTGACTTTTCTCCAGTGGAGACCTAGAATGGCTTACAGTATTCTTCTGTCCTTCATTTTATCCTCACAACAACCCTGTTAGGTAGGTTAGGCTGAGAGAGAGAGTAACTGGCCCAAATTTACCCAAAAATCTTCCACGGCAGAGTGGGGATTTGAAACTTGTCTGACACTTTGTCCCCTACACTGCGTTGGCTCTGCATATGAGGGGCAGTTTAGTATAGCAGTTAAAGTGCCAGACTGAGTTCTGGGAGACCAGATTCCCACTGCCACGGAAGCCTGTGGGGTGACCTTGGGCCAGTCACTCTCTTTCAGGCTGAACTACCTTACAAGGTAGTTGTTGTGAGGCGAAAATGAAGGATGATGTAAGGGATACCCCATTGGGAGAAATCAGCATATAAATATTGAAATAAATATATAAATATGTCCCTGCATATTTTCTATTACTTTAAAGTGAAAATATTTGAATTACTTGTTCACATGGCCCTTTTATTTTCTCCAAATTACTTGTTCACACCACCTCCCGGTGCAGTAAGGTCTATTTCACTTTTATGATAAATATATTTGCTTGGAACAGAGGTCATCAGCCCCGTCACAAGATGCTGTGGGTATTCTTGTGCTGAAGTTTGGAATGCAATCCACCGTTTTATGGAAACTGATCATATGCTGTGATGCAATAATAATCACAAGTTCCTTTCTGCTTACCTTTTGACCAGCAAAATGTGTAAAAGGCAGGGCAGGAGTTGCAGTTAAAAAGCTAGAGATGTATGGTAAGTCTTCCATTATAACATACGGTGATTGTAAATCAGCCTGCCTGTATGGGCATTAGTCAGTTCAAGTGTGTTTAAGTATTGGCTTTCTGTTTCTCACATGCACTTGAACAGCTGGAAAAGAGCTACAGTGGCACATGTGGACCTGTTCTATAAGGAATCAAAGAGCAGCTCTGTATTACAGAATCAGTTTTATACCAGTTTAATTGTTATGGCTTCTCTTGAGGAAACCTGGCAATTTTCTGTGTTCTGAGTATGGTCTCCAGGTGCCCTTACAGGACTGCAGCTCCCAAAATAAATAGGCGCCTTTTGGCACCTTGAAGACGTAAGAAAATTTGGTTCCTACCTGTATAAACTAGAATAATCTGTTCTTCAGATACAAAGTGGAAGGGAAGCATTCACGGGAATAAAATGTTGTTAGTCTTTAAAGTGCCACAGGACCCTTATTTATTTTTGCTGCAACAGACTAAAACTGTTTTGTAATCTGCCTTAAGTATCAGTGAAAAAGGCAAGCTATAGTTGAAGCAAATAAAGAAATAAATGAACAAAGCTACTCATCTGGAGGGAGCTTTGGTGGCTCAAGTGGTTAAGACGCAGAACTGCAGGCTGTGGAAGGTCGGTAGCTCAGCAGTTCGAGACCCGAGTGCCGCATGACGGAGTGAGCTCCCATCTCTGGTTCTAGCTCCTGCCAACCTAGCAGTTCAAAAGCAAGAAATTGCAAGTAGATAAATAGGTACCGCTTCGGTGGGAAGGTAACAGCATTCCGTGCGGTTTGGTGTTTAGTCTTGCCGGCCACATGACCATGGAAACGTCTTCGGACAGCGCTGGCTCTTCGGCTTGGAAACAGAGATGAGCACCGCAACCCTAGAGTCGGATTCGACTGGCTTTCGAGCAAGGGAAACCTTTACTTTACCCATCTGGAATTATCAGAGTTTCCAAAGTTCCTTGGGGAAAAGAGATGATAGCTTTAAACTGTTGTGAGTCTGTTGCTGCCTAAAAGCATACTGAAGTATGTCAGGATAGGTACCACATTTATACCCCATCTTTCTTCCCAATGGGGACCCAAAGCAGTTTACATCATTTTCTTCTCCTCAATTTTATTTTCATAACAACCCTCTGAGGTAAGTTAGACTGAGAGTTACACTAGGGCTATAGTCGTGTGCTTACTTATACTGTGGTGGTAGGTGCAGTTGAATTTAGTGAAACTTTAAGTAAGCATGGGTAAAATCAGAGCAGTAGGTCACAATATCCTGTTGGCTATCTGTAGCTCAAAGGATTCTGTGTATAATGTTCTTCATTGTAGTAGTAGAGAGTTGAAGATTCATTACCTGTATGCATGACAATGGTTTTCTTCCTCTAATTAAGCTGCTTAGTCAGGGCTAAGAGAAGGTGGATCTTCCTGTGACTCTTCATATGACATTGTCTGTTACAATAGGAGATGAAAGACTGAAGGAATTCATAATTATTT